TCTCTCTCTCTCTCTCTCTCTCTCTCTCTCTCTCTCTCTCTCTCTCTCTCTTTCTCACTGTCTCTTTTTCTCTCCCTTTCTCGCGCACGCAACGACGGCGGCGACGACGACGATGCGATGTTTCCTACGACGGTGTCGTTCGTCGACGAGTCGTCGTTCCGTCAGACAGGGACAGACAGGAGGACAAGTAGGCAGATATTATCTCGCCGCCGCGATTACGGTAACGGCGACAGCGGTGGCGGCGGCCACGACGACGACGGCGAACGAGCGACGACGACGACGACGCCTCGTCGCCGTCCTCGTGGTCCCCGTGGTCTTCTCTCTCTCCTCTTCCACTCTCTCCGTCTTTCTCGTCTCGGCAGTGCCTCTGTCGCTCTCGCTCCCACTACCGCTATGACTTCCACCGGCGACGACGACGACGACGATGATGATGACGGTCACGTCGACGACGACGACGTTTCACACACTTCTAACAACTCACCACCACCACCACCACCAGCACAATCACTGCCACCACTCTCACCACCGGCACGACGGTCACCACGACGACGGCGACGACGACGACGACGAGGACGGCGGCGACGAAGACGACGACGGGGGAACGTCCCCGGCGACGTACCCGTGTTTCCCCCTCAACGACGGCGGCGTCTACGCAGCGCCGCTGCTCCTGGCGAGGCTCGACGACGCCAGCGACGCATCAACGCGCGTCTACGCGCACGCACACGAGTCCTCGCGCCGCCTGTCGTCTTCTACTGCTCGCTCCTTCGCTCCGTTTTCGCTTGTTCGTTTCTCTTCGTTCTTTCTCGTCCTCTCTTTCTCTCTCTCTTCTTCTCTCTCGCTTACTCTATCGCGCGCGCGTTCCGTCTGGTCCGATTCGTCCGTCTCTTCTTTTCCCTTGCCTTACTCTTTCCTTCTCTCTCTCTCTCTCTCTTCGCTCTTATCACACGTATCGTTTCGCGCTGGCTCGTTCGTTTGCTCGTTTGTTCGCTCGTTCTCACGCACGTTTCTCGCCTTGATACGCGAGATCGCCGAGGCGCACTATGCGAATCTCTCGGCGTGTGCGTGTATATACATGGAAATATACCTGTGTATATCGTGCACTCTCCTCTCTCTGTCTCTCTATTACTCACGCACGACACACGCGTACACACATGTAATCACTGGGACGCGCACGTTTGCCTTTCCCACGAACACGAACGCGGCACGATGTGTCGGTCTGTCGAACGCTCTCTGTAACCGCGGTCGTTCACGACGGACGTTCCCCCGCGGAGGGCGAGGTCCGTCTGTCTCTCTCTCTCTCTCTCTCTCTCTTTCTGTACCGTCCTCTTGCTCTTCGTTCTTCTCTCTCTCTCTCTCTCTCTCTCTCTCTCTCTCTCTCTCGCTCACTCGCTTCTTCACGCACTTCTCTCCACACCCCCTTACACTTCCTCCCGGTTGTTGTTCGTTCGTGCTGCCGCTCTCTCTCTCTCTCTCTCCTTGCCGCGGAGTAGAGTCCGGCGCGCGGACACTTGACTACGCTACGGAAGCACGATGGCACGTCACCCACCCGGGTGACAACGGAGGAGCCTGGGTGGCGCACGTTCGTTCGCACCGCGTACTACACGCACCGCGCGCGGCTGCTAGAAAGAGCTCTCGAGAGAGAGAGCAAGCGTAGCGGCGACGTTCGCGATCGGCTCCCCGGCTCGCGCGGTGTTGGGTGTGGTAACCCACCGGCGCTTCGTCTCCCTCTCTCACTCTCGCTCCTTCTCTCTCTCCCTCGCTCTATCTATCCCCCTCGAAGCTCACTCTCGCTCTCTCTGTCGCTCCTTCTCGCGCGCGCGGCCGCCGTCCTTTGCTCGCTTTCTTGCTCGCTTCCTCTGTCTCGCTCGCGCGGCCACCGCTTCTTCCTCTGTCGCGCTCTTTCTCCTGGCACACGCGAAAAGCTGTCGCCGCTGCTGCTGTCGCTGGCGCTCTGCTGTTACCGTTCCAACACACTGATTGACACGAGGATTGACCACGAGACGACCGCGGCACGACGCGCGTGGTCACGACGACGACGACGACCACGAGCACGACGATCACGACGACGTGTCGGATCGCGAAGGTCCGACACGATGCGCGCGATGCCTCGTCGCTTCTACCTCCTCTCTCGCTCTCGTTTTACTGCTGTGTCCGTGTGTGTGTACGTGCGTGTGTGTGTGTGTATGTGTGTGTACGTGTGCTATGTATACTGCCGTTACCGCTGGTTGCTGCTGCTGCTGCTGCTGCACGAGCGCCCACACCTCTCGAGCGGAGCAACTCCTCCTTGCGACACGCGCCGCGCCCGTCCGGCGCGCAGCCTTTATGAAGCGTCGCGCAAGCCGTGGAATCCTGTTAGACCAAACCAGATTGACGAAGCCCCGCGACACGGCACCCACGGCCAACGGCTCCCGGTTCGCTCGTGGCTGCCTCCGCGTATCACCAGCACCGTAGGGCGCGGGGGGCGCGCACGTGTCCGCTAACGAGATTAAAATCGGCGAGTAGGAGGCGCGGCCGCCACCCGCCGGGGAGGAGGTACGGAGAACGTAACGGCGTTGCTGCCGCCGCCGTAGCGAGTGGCGCTGCAGTCGTGTCGATCGCCGCGTGTCCTACCTTACCGAGCGAATCACGTGACGCGACGTATCGGCGCGGCGATTTTTATATGAATGACGCTTGAAATGTGGAATTCGCTCTTTTCGATAGAGTTTATCCTCGAACTCGCGAATAAAAAATGAATATTCGTCTTGCAAACACGAGAACTTCGGCGATCGATCTCGATTTCCTGACAACATACAATTTCTGGATTACGTGTGTTATCTCTTGTCTTTTACTGTTGTTCTTCTTGCGTATCTAGCTCGTTCTTTCACCGCCATTTTTAGTTGGAATTTTTAGTTGTGACAATTTTACCTTCTGCCTCCTCATTTTCCGTTTATACCGTTATTACGCAACTCGACTGATAATGCGAATACTTATTTACTTTGAAATTTTGACGATCTATCTCACTGCTTTGACTGTCGTACGATTTTTATTGGAACAAGCAATTCTTGTCTGTTTCCAAATGAAAGTTGTATCATTAATTTAGTAAGTTCCATCGATGTTTCTTTTCCCTACATTTTGTCGAGTTCACGTACGCTTCTTCAGCATATCGAGGAAAGCGCATATCGCATAAACCACTGCCATCGTTGGACGAGAGGATTAAGTTTAGAATGTATGGCTTCGCGAAGCCTATAATTGCGACAGATTCCTGAGACGTAATTCGATTCCTTAATTAATTAACAGTTGTACAAGCTGTATTTCCAGCGTTGTTGATCATTTCTTGTCCGTGCAATTCGCTTGACATTTTTGGCACAATTCTTTACTCGCTTCTTCCTTGTAAAACGCACTTTCTCCTAGATGTACAGCAAATTTCGGATAGTAAGCGAAAATTATCGCATTATGGCAGCTAATTGTAATTCAACGTTAAAATCTCGTAGACAATTTTCAAAAAGATGTAAAAAGTCGTACAAATTTGGAATTTGATTTTATCTTCTTTCGTCTTCAATCATAACGACGTTTCATCAAACATTCCGTACAATTCACCTGACAAATTCCTTCTGAAAATCCGTGCTCACCTGCATCCGGAGTCACTTGGCACAGATTCATCGCGATTAATTTAAACAGACCCACGATATGCACGCTGTCACCCGCGTCCTCGCACAATTCCGCGAGCTTGTTGAAAATCTGCTGCAGAGACTGCAATCGCCTATTTTGTACAACGTACATTTTGACGAATGCTCGACTTGTCTCTCGCTCGTTACGTACAAATTAATGATACTCGGCAATTCCGCGTCCAACAGCCGCCTGCTCTGCCGCAGGTCCTCCAGAATCGCGTTGTGCTGCCGATGGAGCTTCTCCATCCGCGACACCGACAGTCTCGGGTTTTCGAGCAGATTCTCGAAATTCGCTGATGCGACGAGAAAGTCTCTCCTCCTGTCCATGTGACTGTCCAGCAACGTGCACGTGTTCTCGGGTGGGACCACGTTACCGGAGCAACACTCGATTAGTTCTCGCAAACTCGACATTCTCTTCTCCGCCTCGATCTGAATCAGAGGAATCCGGCGATCCGGAAATTCGTTTGTCGCGTTACCCTCTCTAAATGCCTCAAAGCGAAATCTCGAAATCGCAAAAGTGAATGTTTCACTCAACTTAGAATGGGTTCTCCATATGAGCGAACGTTTTACTCGATTAGAGTCGATATGTTCTCCTGCATATCAGATTCACTTTTCAATCTGGTGTGAAAATATTCGCTCGACGATTCGCAGTGGAGAATTCATTCTGCATGAGTAAAAAATCACTCGAATTCGAGTGACTCGGTGGTCGCTCTTTTCTTCTTGTTTCAGTGAAATTTCACTGCAAGGTATCTAGAGAATACAACTTAGATTTCCGCGAAAGAAATGCGCCGCATTCGGGCGTTTCTTAAATTTGCAGCTACTTGTCTGCGGCACAACAGGAAATCCTCGTCTGTGCGATTCGCGCCGGAAACGGGACAAAGCGCGAGCAGAGCGTGACTCGCGTCGAGCACTCGATCCACGGTGAGACACGATACTACTTTCAGGGATTGCGTGTACTGAATGAGAGCGTCGAATGTGTTGCCGATCATGGTTAGACGCTGCGTCAGACTCGCCTGCTTATCCTCCGTCACAGCCTCTTCTACTTGGGTCCTTATCAGGTAGACCCGCATGGTCTCCCGTAATTGCTGCGGTTGACCATTTGACATCTGCTCAGGAAATGCAAGGTCTTTACAAGTCTTTACAAATGTGGGGATCGCGTGAATCGTTTAGCGTTTAACGTCGGTGTTACTTGCGCAAATTACTATCGTCGAGCGCTTCCACGGCTTGGACCTGCTGCAGTGTTCGCAGCATGCGCAGCAGGTAGCTGCGTTTCTTTCCTGCGATAGGCACGCGACGGAATGCGTCGTCGTGGGAAGAGAGGAGTATCCTTGCAACTCTTGAGCGAAGGCTCCTTTTTTCTCTGTGTCATTGGTATGGCATGAGAGGGATAATTTTCTGAAGATATGAAAAGAATAAGTTTCTGAAGGCGTAATTAGCCGCGTCCTAAGAGAAAATCTCACTCGCGGGCATATTTAACGCGTCTTACTGAAGTCTATTTCTAAGATAAGGTGGAGCGTCAAGGTTTCAGCGGATATAATAAGACGCGGATACGAGTTGTGCGTTGATTGTACATTATTCGACAGAACTGATGTATCGTTTCTAAACGTCATTAATGCAAAGTCATCGTGATGACTTGTAATGACAAGTCACGATCTGACATATCGTACTCGTTTCTTTGAATAATCAATAAGTAATAAATCAATTATGCATGATAGACTAGAAAATTCTAATGATTCTGTTACGTATTAAAGCTGTTCTGTCGGTTAGTGTATAGTCGGTTAATATTGACGAAGCACTTCTAACTAATATTAAAATGCATATATACACACACAAACACACTGTATAAAATATTCGATATACTATATTCGCATAATCACTCACTGATTGTCACATCAGCCATATCCCTTCGAGCAAATTTGCCGTTCTGGAATCGAGAGATCTGGCACGGAGCGTGGACAAAGTATCGCGCGAAATAACTCTCTTACTTGTTAATGGTGCTTAATTACTCAACTCGGCTCGTCAGGATGATGATCGATGGATATTCTCAGGCGAAATACATTTCTTTATTCACTTCGGGGCAAGGAATCACGCTACAAACGCTCACGTGTGTTACGTATTACAAATCAGTCGTTATTTATTGTATAATCAGTTTTTAAATGTCAAGACAATTAAGGGAGATATAGACGTGTTTGTGTGCACATGTGTATGTGTGTGCGTGTGTGTGTGTGTGTATGTGTTTGATACACTTTGTATTAAGGTTATAAAAAGATACGACTGACTGCTTCAGGGGAAGAAGAAGAAATAAAACAACAAGGCGTAAAAGTGACAAATGACATATAACAATCGATTGCTCCACTGCTACACCAAACATCCGCGAACTCTACTGAAATTCTTCTCCCTATGCTTTTTCATGTTCGGCTGCGTTGTGAGCGCGATATCGAACGTGACGTAATTGCCACTGAAAGAGATTCCTTGCCATCTTACACATTTACGCGACGTACCATAACTCAACGTATTATGATGCGTAACGTTGATGCACGGATGGCAGTAAACATCTATGTACATACACTTTTCGCTCATTATATATCCGTTAGATATTACGCATTCGAATTATCAAACTCTGTTATAAGCGTAATGTTAGTAAAAAAAAATATCGATGTTACAAAACTGAAGGATCTCCTCATCCTTACCCGTGCTCTGAACACTTAAATGCATTTTGTCCTCCGCTCGACGAGTACGCGGATGACGCAGAGTTTAATATGTCAAGAATCAACAGAAAACAAGAATCTCGATGACTCACTTGAGATGATTACTTCGAACGCTCTTGCAGATCGATATTTTTTTTCTTGAGTATTGCAACAACTTTCAGCTTCACTTATTACGTTACAGATAAACTGGATAAATCGAGGGAGCCTACTGACGGTCCCTGACAGATTTAATGCATTAGTGTAACAATGGATCAATCATACGAAACAATCGGATCGCCTTTAATGCGTCTCCTTGCAAGCTGATGCAACAAAATAAAAAGACACGCGCGATTAAGTGAAAGCTGAAATTCATACTCTCTTAACATCACTTCTTTCTGTAAGGTATGCCTGTATATATATTATTATTACAACACTATTTATTACACAAGATGCGAATACAAGATTGTTTCGGGCAGATCTAACGAGTATTGATCGAGTCTACAAAAGTTTCTTTCTTTCTTTCGGTAGTTGGCTCGTTACGTATTCGTTCTCTACTCTGACAATATGGATAGACAAACGGGAGCGATAGTTATAACAATGATAGTAGTAATAATAATAATAATATAATAATAGCAATAATAATAATAATAATAAACGCTCTCTGCTTCTCTATTGTCGCTACCCGATTTTCTACATACATGTACATAAGATTGCGGATACGCAATGGACGAGTAAATAAAATCTGCAAAAATAATTCGCGTGTAAATTCCACTAACGCAAAATTCGTCTCCGTAGGGAGAGACTAAGATGAAGAAGAAGGACTATCGGTCGTAAATACACGGAGACTAATATGTTCGTATATCGTCTCATTTATACATTGCAATATTCATTTTCTTACGTATCACTCTTTCCTTCAAACACCTATCATTATTAATACGTCGTTGAAAAATTTGGCATTGTGGATCGCGGCGAGATTTTGACGGGGATTACCGCTACTATAGACTTATCCTGCCGAACAATAGGCGAGTGAATATTGTTAAATCTTTACCTTACGAATGCAGACAGGTAGTTGGACCTTGAAGATTTCTCACCTCTCCTCGTGGCACGAGGAGTTTGGCAACATTTCGCATGCGCGCGATTGTTCCTAAATTTTAAAATGTATGTATATCTCTTATAGCGATAATTTTCTCAGTGGCCACAAAGTTACGTCGTAAAATATTCTTAAGTCGTATATAGGTCTATGTACAGTTTCATAAAATAATATTAATTTAATATATAGCTTTCGTTTTTTATATTATAATATTGCATATCGTGTATAAGTGTGTACTTTTGTATATATGTGTGTATATATGTATGTATGTATGTGTGTGGATGTGTGGCACGTGTCTATAGTGTACGTGTTACAATATATTATTTAGTCGCTTAAATATCTCATTTGATTACTCACGATGTGTTGTATTTCGTACGTTTGATATGAGAGAGTTAATCCCATATGCACAGACACACGGACACACAGACACACACGCACGCACACAGTTGATGAACAAAACGAGTGAATGTTGGCACAGACAGTGGCTGGGTTAAGGCACTTTGGGGTGATTGATTCTCCGCAGTACCCTCCAGCATAACTATCTTATCGAATTCCCCGCCCCCTCCCCCTACTCTTCTGCAAGAGCCCGTCGCACGTCTATCTTTTTCTTTTCTCCCGCTTTCGTTCCTTCTTTCTTCTCTTTCTCCACTTGCGCGTTATACACCTGTACACGTCGTGCGTAATATTACTCTCTCTCCCTCTCTCTCTCTCTCTCTCTCTCTCTCTCTCTCTCTCTCTCTCTCTCTCTCTCTCT